AACGATGGACCAAAGAAACCACAAACCTGTCCAATATTGTAAGCATTCAGTGAAGGTAACAAAAGACTGAGAGAAGGCCGATTTCCAGAGAAGGTCTGTGAAAGATATCGCAAAAATTACTTAGCACTACAAATTGACCTGTGTGGCGATCAATAAAGCTGAAAGGTGACAGGAAATTACCTTATGAGGGATAAGATGTTGTGGAACATTCTCCTTCTGCAACTGCTCTATGGTCTACAAGAAACAGACGCTTTCATCATAGAAAAAATGTGCCAATATGTCCGGCAGCAAGATAATTTTCAAAATTTTGCTTAGACATTTGAGATTTCCTTGCTTTTGCAATATTTGCTAATTAATTTAAAGTAATTTTTGTTTTTTATTTTTAATTAATTTTCCTTGCATGATCAATTTTCCACAATAGAAAAACCATAAAGATTGTCAACTTTGTTTACAAGTGAATCCCTCCACAATGGTTGGTTAATGTAGAGGAGCGAGCATCAAACTTACCTTCCCGTATGCAAGGGCGTCTGGCTGTGCAAAGAAGTTGGACATGAGCTCATCATGGTTACTCACCACTTCACCTGAAATAAAGATACAGGATACCTATGTATCAGTCGAACTGTCAATTTTCAAGAAAAAAGATGCCACGATAATTACTGGTCTTAGAGGCTAAGATAAGACCTTTCAGGTAAACAGGTTGCTGACTTTTCACAACACCAATAAAATCACAAGGAATAACGCGTCCCTGAAAGTTAACGGAAAAAGTTTAAGTCTAAGTTACAGAACATGTAAACAGACGTTAAGCTTGTTACAAAAAAAATAGTCTGTAATTTGTAGATTCAGAGACTTTCTCATTACTTGTTGAAAAATTACTTTTGGCGATAACAAAATATGTTGATACCTGGTGAATGAGTTGGTAAAAGCTGTGCTGACCATTTGTTCCAGGTTCACCAAAGTCAATTTCACCGGTCTCAAAGGGAAGTGGAACTCCATCAATTGATACGCCCTTGCCATTACTTTCCATGCTAACCTACATTGAAGAAAAAGAGAGATAACAGCATGTAAAATAGCTGGCAGGCATCATTAAAAAGAAATGAGAAAAATATAGAAAAACAAAAGAAAGCACACAGACAAAGAGCTATGGTAGTCTTGCCTGTTGAATATGTGGGGCAAACTTTTCCAGAGCTTGGGAGTAAGGTAAGATGGCCTAAGCAACAAAAGCTATCAGTTTCACAGCTGAATGAAAACCATATAGCATTAAAAAATGTTACATGATGGCAGTGTGAGAAAATCTTTGGAGCATTGTGTACTAACCCTTGCAGGATATCCAAGAAATGAAACATTCCATACACTCAACAAGCCTAAAAGCACCTGAAAAACATATGTCATGTTATTGATGGATAGTGAATATATCAGAGATACTCCGGTATAGATGGGAAACTAATGTATGAACACTAGCTAAAGCACCAAGGGGGTACGACTAGGATATACCCAAACTAAGAATAATGCAGCCCACCTGTATACTGTGCTAAATCCAACCAGGAGAGCTCATTTAAAAAAATGACAAGAATTGAAAAGAGGGGGGAAAAGGAACAAAAAAAGAGGAGCAACAATAACATCCTTGCCGAGAAAATGAATATGATAAGGTCAAGGACAATCGTGTGAAGATATCCAGGTACTTACAGGTATATTTTGCTCATATGGTGCTGAGTAAAAATGCTGATCAATGCTTGACGCTCCCTTTAAGAACCTTTGAATAAAGGAAAATAATAAGTTCATAACCAATTTTTTATGTTAATGACATCAATAATCTAGTAAAGGAAAACTACGACAATTATTTGAATTCAAGATCACACAGAATCTCATCTTTCTTTCTCACATATCACTGGAAAAGCAAAAACAGATTCCGAGTTCAAACTAGTTTTAATTGCAAGATGAAGTGCGATCAAAACCGTATACATCACAAATTTCAGAACTCACTAGAGTAGAGCTGTAGCAATTATGAGTTACATACTTCTCAACAATCGAGAAACCATACTGGAGAGATAAAGGCAACACCCCAACAGCACTGCAAACTGCAACCGGCAGTTCAAGTACCAATCAAACATCAATCAGAAAAAACTTAGTACGGCAAAAGGCAAATTACTTACCGCTATACCGTCCGCCAACCCAGTCCCAGAATGCAAAAGCATTGTTGGGATCAATGCCAAACTTTTCCACAAGCTGCATCATAAGTAATCAACAAGAACAACAGTTGATGAGAACAACCTTGACATGCAACAAAGAAGGAGAGTATACAAATGAATTTCACTAAAGATTTATTACTAACAATGATGAAAATTGTTGCAGTAACAAAGTAGAAATACATTGAAAAGGAAGAACAAAACATAGATTGCAATAAAATTACATACTTCCCAACAAGAAACCAAGTCAGCTCCAGAACTGGAGTGTAAATATTCTTAGAAATGCACAGTTCTAGCTCCAAGATGAAATCCAGATTAACAATGTAAATGGTGAATCAAAGCTTATGTTGATATAACCCAACATGGTATATAATCGGTGCACGATTAGTCAGTATCCATCCAGAGTATTTTAATTCTTTTGTTTTATCTAGAGAAAATGAAGCTGTCAAACGGAGAATTAAAACACACGATTTACTTCAGCAAACTCCTCACACGCCC